AAGCTTACGTGGCTTTTGTTAAAGTTCATTTATATTTTTCTACAACATATGTACAGAAGAAAAATTATATGAATAGTCACAAAGATAAATATTTTACAAGAAACGTCAGTTTAATGACGCAGAAAATAAACTGGAAAACGAGGAATAACGATGAGTTCAGGCATCCACAACTTCTTCCTCATCCGAAAAGTAGCTGCTTCGCTTAATTTTTTGAGTCTTCGTTCGAGTACTCTGGCTATGTCCAAAAGACTCATCTTCATTGCTAGTTGACATAAGATTGATATGATGTTGAATTGCAGTACTCCAACTGTCTTCATCTACTACGTCTGAAGCGTCATCTTCATTCTGGGAATCTTTATCCTCTTCTGGCCTGAAATATAAAAATGCCAAATTATGAGCTCGATATTTTTCAAAAGTATTCATCCATTTAAATGAAGCCCTCAGTGTAGGTGCGAAAATATCGTGCGCGATTAGTCGTCATGCCCCTAATTTGCTTAGCCAAATTTTAGATTATTAAAAAGCTAATTTTATAATCTAAATGATATGTACCTATAATATCCTTAAAAAAGATAAATATGCTATCTAAGGAATAACAGTTAATTTTGGATTGAGCTAAGATAAATGAGCTGCAGATTTGGATTTCTAAGAACTGGCAGTTTTTCTGCCAACGTTTTTTCACTAGGTCGGAGATTAATTAGTATCGGAAAAAGAACTAATGATGTTTCTTAATTAATAAAGCGTGAGATTTAGAGCCGCCATTATAATTTTTATGAGTAAATGCGGATTTATGCGCGAAATACTCCCGAACTTTAAAAAATGTAATCTTCTGAAGTCATTTCAAAATTATGCGTAAGAATCATGATGTTTTCTTTGGATCTCCACCATACAGATGAAGACTGCCAAGATAAATTCAATTATTTATTTATTGCCGAGGTATCATAGTATCGAAAGATTTAATATTTGAGTGATAGCAAGAATATCTACCCAATGAGAATGTGTCAATTTAAGAACGTTTGCATAGCCGCCTAAAATATTTTCAATTAAATTTTTTTAATGGCAAAATATGTAAGGTAAATAGTAGCAAATTTTTCAAATAAGGCATATAAACTTGCTACCAATTCAATAGAATGAAATGTAGAGGATACTCACTCCCTAATAGGGTTCGATGGTTTTTTTCTCTTTTTCTTCTGCACAGGCTGCATTCTATCACCTAAAACATTCCTAGAACAAGTAAAGCTTAGATGGCCATATTCCTAAAATTATAATAAAAGTAATTTTTAGATAATAAGTTTTAATGGAGAGTAATAAATAAAGTTTATATTGATAAAATTCGTACTCCACACTCGTAGCATCGAATCTTGCAAGGATATTCGCGCCTACGAATAAATTCCGGGGCACGTCCATTATCCTTGGCGATAGATGCACTCAAAGTTCGGCCCAAAAGCTGCATAGGACGAAATGTTGTGTTGATAATACAAAATTGTCCAAACTAAGTGAAACAAGGGCATACTTGAGATTGGTTAACTTCAGAAACACAAGCATTCGCATCATCCCTTTTGACAAAAAGAATGAATGCGACGCCTTTGCTCTTTCTTGATGTACGGTTCTTCAACACAGTTACCCTGAAGAATTAACTTGTAAGCCATTTAGGCTTCTACCTGGCCACTTTTCCATACTTGTTAAAAATTTTGTGAATGTCATTATTTGTAAGGTCGAATGGCAAATTACTGACATAAACAGTACTCTTGCTAGGAGCGAGAGTTGACATCAAGCAACGGAGAAAAGACAGCAAACTAGAAATTTTCAAAATCCCCGGTAAGCATATCTATTTTTATTAGTACGGTAAAAACAGAATATATATGAATTCTAAATGTTTGCATATAATTTAGAATAAATTTAATATTTTTTATTTATTAGGCATTTTGGAAGCAAATTTAAAGAAATTTATGAGACACATAAAAAGCGCACCTAATTATGTATTTATATGGAATGAAATTCAAATGGCATGATGTATTGAATTTTGGTGCTAAGCCTTAATGCGGTTTAAAAGTATCAAACTTCTGAGAAAAGCTTTTATGCTCCGCTAAAATTATAATCTATTAGAACAAATAAGCAGTTGTTTTTTTTAATTTCCCTTTTCATTTTTTTAACATTTTTGCGCCAAGACACATGGGATACTTATTTGTGTGAATAATAACCCTCTAAAAATAAACTTCTTTTACATTTGTATACCAAATTAGAGAGATGTATCTAGAAGTCTATAAAGTTATATGAGTAATAAAGATTCGGCGTATAGCTACTTTTCTTAATTATTAGTTTTTAATACGTATATAATCAACTTATTATCTAAAGGTATTCTCCTCTACTTCTATAAATTTATAAAATTATGAGTAATGTTTACCGTCGGTCAATAGCCTCACTATTAAAGATGTTTTTTGAGGCAAACAGATTTAAAGTAATACATAATCTATACTGCATTTTGACCTATTCCATCTCACAAAAATAAACTTTATCACTTTACCTAAGAACATAGCAATCCTTAAAGTATCACGGGACTATAGAGACATAGGTTATTTATGTTTTGCAGTAACGCGTCAATGTAAGAGTGTATAAAAGGGATTAGAAAATTGACCTTAACGGAAACCGTAAAATGTTTTCCTGTATTTCAATCGTAGATCCATAAACACTATTAGTTTTGCGAAGTTAAGGATCTAGATTTTTTTCATATCAAATTTGGTATGGAAATTATGAGTGGAGGCATAATATAATTTGATACCCAGTGTGTGTGCGTGTCTGATAACATGCCTGACTTTGATAGTTCCCAACATATTTACGTATGTTAAACTGACTAGAGCCTTAGGATTAGTTAAGACTATCAACTTGAGAGATTCAGAAGTATAAAAGTGAAGCAGTCTATCTTCACACGAGCGATAACGATTTAAGCCACACACGAGCCTCACAAAAGAACAGGCAATGGATTGGGGATAGGAAGTGGGATAATTAGGTCATGGTTCTAAATAATAGGAAGAAGAGTAAACTTAGGCAAGGGATAACCCGTCTTCTAAAAGCTTTGAATAGGTTTACAGACAGCTGGACATAAAGTGATTTTAATGTGTAGTAGGGAAGAGATGTCAAGCAAGGTCCAGGATCCTAAATGAAGGTAAGAAGCTCCGAACTAGAAGCCCTGAAATCGGCATGTAAAGCGATAGTAAAGAAGAGTACACTTAATAAATCCACGAGAGAGTTAAAGAGATAGGGATGCAGAACTAGAAGCTGGGTATAAAAAATGAAGGATTGCCCCCACAAGTGTTGAAAAAAATTGGTTAAGTAGATTGACTTCCCTTGTCACATTGATAAGCTGCAACTATGTACGTAAGAGAACATCTCTTGCTGGCGATGTTAAACATGATGACAGGCATGCTGGATAAGAGGAAGGTAAATTGTATCTTTAGCTAGATATTAAACAGAGTAATAAGAACGGTACGATAATAGTCATGGAGTATAGGCACCATGAGGATTAATATAAATATAAGTTGTTTGACCTTGTTTTTGCAACTTGGTCATATTGGAAGGGAGACTTGGAGAAACCCACCTTGTCCGGAGTCCATTGTATGCATAAGCATTTCCAAAGTCGGACCATGGACGTGGTACATTCCCAGAAGTTTCGCCGGCACCGTAGTCAGTATCATCAGTGAATTTTGCCATTCGTAGCACCATATTACAACTCGTTAAAAGAGACAAGTGAAGTTTATACTTTGACCAAACGTGTGCTAAACAGTTATGGTATATCCCTTTCTGGCCTGGCCTATTCACATTTCCTATATCCTCCAATCAGGCCTATACTGTCACAATTTTTTACTTGCTTAATTAAATGTGGCACGGTGTACACTTTAAAGTGGCTTTCATGAGAAACCTCGGCACTCCACGCTGGCCTTCTCACCTTCCTTAATCCGTGTGCTGGAAATGTTGATCAGAGTCTGCCATATTGTTGCGCAGTCCTCCTTCCCTAGGTCTTTTCACGGTCTCTCTTTTGCCTCATAAAATCCATCTGCGATCTCTTTGGTTCAAGCATTTCTCCCAACCTGCTACTCGAGGGGTTATTACCCCTCCTCTGCGGCTTGGTAACTAATTCGAGGCTAAAGCCTCTTAATAAGTCTTATGGTCAGGCCTTTGCCACATGGACCACGTCTCTTATAAAACCTACCTTCAGCCTATTAGCTTCCATCGCCGCTGCGTCTATTCTGTTTTTTATCTCTAATACCAACTCTATGACATGCCATGCCGTAGTCGGTTGTGTACCAACCCACAAATGTTGTGATTCTGCTGGCTTTGATTAGGTTCAATGTTGAACCACAACGTTTGTGGGTTGGCACACAAAGACTAGGGCATAGGAAGTCATAGACTTGGTATCATAGATAGAAAAAGCATAGCATCAGTGGAAGCTAGAGCTAGTTGGCTAACAATAGTCGTGATTCAAGGATCGATTATATGATCAAACACGACTATTTTTAGTCAAAAAGCTTTTGTATCCACCGCATCTTTCCTATTTCTATCTGTAATACCATGTTTATCACTTCCAATGTCCTAGTCCCTTGTGTGCCAACCCACAAATGTCATGGTTCTAGTCTGTTTTATTAGGCTCACTAAAGATGTCTCCTCTTGGCTTCTGATTGTTCCTTTCTCATCGCCTTGCGATAAATTTTCCTTAAATTAAGAATATTACTTTGATCTAGTCGTCTTCTTTTTGCTGATTATGCTGTTTCCTGGTCTTTCCGAGTTTGTTTTGGCAATATGCAAAGTTTTCGCTGGTCCTGCCTTCTTTAAGTCTTCTGTTCATTAGATTTCTTCCGGTCAGTATTTCGATAGCCTCTCGGATCTTGCGTATTTTCACCACATGCAGCCAATGTTTCGGTCGATTTCCAGTCGATTTCGTGCCCCGTTTGTGTGATGTGTTTGAATCTTTTTGTATCCATATTTCTGCAGAGTCTTTGATGTTCCTTAAATCGTAGGTCGATTTTTTTTCCTTTTTCACCGATATACTTTTGCTCACAGTTTCCGTATTTGATGCGATAAACTCCCGAACATTAAAGTTTGTCCGTCTTATCGTGTTGCTTCGGCAGACACTCTAACCATAACCATAATGTTTAAAATAATTTAAAAAGGCCAGGTGGCAGGATTGACTTACAATTGTCTTCTTTATCTGGCTGTAATTAGTGCATTGTTTGGCAATCTTACTTCCATAGTTAAATCGAAGGAATAAAGACTAAGATGGTGTGGCCTTTTATGTGGTCGCAGTCTTCTTTCGTTGTATAGAAGTTGTTTGATCTTGTTTTCGCAACTTGATCATTAATGTAGGAAGACTTAGAGGAAGGCACCTTGTCCGGAGTCCATTATATGCATAATCATTTCCAAAGTCGGGCCGTGGACGTGGCAGATTACCAGACGTTTCGCCGGCATCGTAGTCGGCATCTTCAATGAAGCAACACAAGAAGACGGACAAACTTAAATTCTCGGGAGTTTATCACATCAAATGCGGAAACTGTGAACAGAAGTATATCGGTGAAACAGGAAGAAAAATCGGCCTATGGGTTGGCACACAAGAGACTAGGGCATAGCAAGTCATAGACTTGGTATTAGAGATATAAACAGGATAGACGCGGCGGCAATGGGAGCTAGTAGGCTGAAGGTAGGTTTTATAAGAGG